ACATCATCGCCTGCAATGAAGAATGAAGGCATCACACATACATTTGTGCGTATAAACTTGGGAATTACAATTTTAACCAAACAACCTGAACAATCAGTAACTTGCAACTTCTTCTATATGATTTTTGGGAATGGGAGGTGGGTGGAGAGAGCCTCCAAGGAAGAAATTGAATCTATAAGTACCATTTATGAGAAGAATATTTCTACCTAAGCCATGACATAGCAAAGTGGGCAAGGATGCTGCACGCCTTGCAGCCTCATTCGACGCTTCCATCCGGTTCCTCAAAGTTCTACAGATAGAGCAAAAAAGCAAAGAACTACTGAGATGAACTGACTGTTAATAGCTTGTGCTTATGTGTTGTGCATAAGCAAATTTATGTCAGTGCACACGACAGAAGCTGAACCTTGAACATGGAAGCCATCCACTTAGACCAACAATTGCACTTAGGTTAACTGGGTATGGATTTCCATTCCCATATTGCCCTAAAACACGGCACGTGGCAGAGTAGAGGGCAGTTGCAGCACCCATACTGAAGCCCCCAACACCGAGTTTTACTGTTCACAATAGTACAATTCACACGAGTTACATAAAGCATCTGTGATTCCTACAAAAGCAATTACCTGAATAACACATTATTTTACGCAGTTAATCATTTTACAAGAATATCTGATCTCCAACTTTAATGTAACATCGTTAATTATCCTCCCCATAGATTTTTATGGTAATAACTGAGAAACAACCAGTTTCCTCCAGTCTAATTCTATGTGAAAAGTTACCATATTATTGAATGCATATATCTTTGCTAGTCCTGACAACCTTGACAAGTCAGAGATATTTCAATAGTAAATGTGAAGATCACGTGAGAGTACATAATTCGATTGGCAAAATGAAATTATGCAATGAACTAATTCAATAATACAAACAAAACTAAATAAACATGATGAGAAAAACACAGAAGATATTAGGGAGAACCGATCAGTATATATTTTTCCTTAGTTAAGTCATGATTCAGGAAAGCTGTATGAACAAGATTAAATAAGTTCACTATAGTTCAGTAGAGGAGCAGGGGAAAATGGAATCTGCAGAGAAATTTGACTATGTCATTCTATATCTTCATTCTAACAAGGTAAACATAGTTTGAAATCTGAGTACAGGTCTACAATCCCAGACCTCTTTATATTTTCTTTTCTATCTCTACCAAGATAAATCAATGCCCCAATATCTTATTTATAAATCCTTTAACTGGAAATTTTTCAAACAAATATAACTAAGTTACTAGAGTTTAAGAGCTTTCAAGAAAAGGAACTTACTATCAGCAGGCTCTGTTGACAAAAGATTTGCAACATGCGCTGCTGAGGCATCTAACCCCTCCATATCATCAGGAGCATCTTCTGAAATGTCCCCCATGTCAAACCCTGTAATAAATCACTCAAACACTTTAGACTATGTTTTCCACATACAATATGAAAAGAAATATAAACCAAACTGTTACCCTAGTTACTGGATGACATGTATCTTTAGGCAATCAATGTCCATGTGATAAAGCTCACAGATAATCTAGAATTTCATGATGGTTTTCAGCACGAAGATAAATACAGAAAATATAGCAATAAATCTTACAGGCAGTGCAAGGAAATCCACCAAATAATGCTACAGGACGAGAAGGAGCAGTAGGACAAATCCACTTAATCTGTATAATAATATAAACAGAAACAGCCAATAAATACTATTAAACAAACTTCGTAGTATATTCTCTAAATAGATGGTTTAAGGCTGCTGGTGATGAATGTTGAATATGCATGTGCATAATGACAAAATGAAACTTAAAGCCACCCTTACATTTGGAAGAGGAAGGGTTTCCAAAAGCTGGGACCAGCTGCAAAACAAAGCACAAAGTGGAAATAATCCAGCTTAGTTACTAATGATTAACCAAACTAATAACACAATACTTTGAGTCCAATGGCTAGAAGATTGGTAGCACACTTCAAGCTTGAAAATAATTACAGTATCATTTAAGAAACACTTCTTAGTAGCATATCAAATCTAATTTGGGGAGCACGTATAATCAAGGTTAAGCATAAACCTAATCGATAATTGTACAAGTTTGATACTATTTGGATATATCTGTTTTAGCTCAAAATGGTTCAATCATCTTTCACTAAAGGAATAATGGTGATTAATTAGTCCTGCATCTGTACTATATAAATTATTAATGAATAGTATATTTCAATTTGATACATTTGAAAGGGCAACTAAGCTAGTGAAGAAGTGGTCCCCTATTGTAGGCCTTGGAATATTCAAATACTCGATTCATGACCTCCCCAACATCAATTTGAATGTAAAGAAGACGAAGGAAAAGACAACCGATCACATTGTCTTTTGGTTCATGGAAGTATTGCGGTCCCCCATCAATTCGATCAGAAATAGAATCTTCTAAAATGCAACAGAATCAAGGACTTAGTTAAATAACAGATTTTGCTAGATCAGGAGAAAGACATTGACATTCTCCAATTCCCCTTCTTTTGTCTTTTATGTGGAAACAAACAAGTCCACCATGCTCTTCAGGCATATGCTCGTTTAAAAGGGAAAGGAATCAACCAACCCAAACCATATGTTTCATATAAAGAGAGAATATCAGGTTCAAGTAGGTTATTATAAAACTCCACATTCTTAACATCATAACTACTGATCCATGCACGTCCACAAACCCTGCTGAGTAAAACATAACAGCTGTATTGCATGTATAAATCTGAAATGGAAAGCTACAATTTAATCATGCATAGGAATTTCAATTCCACTGATGAATTGGTTTAACGGGAACAAGTTTCACCCAAAAACAGAGACAAATTATCACAAGCACCCGTTCTTAAATCACAATAGAACATTTTTATTGTCTGCAAAAGAATAGCATTAATACCTTGAGCCCTTATCTCCAAGGCCATGTAGCCAAACTATAGTCGCTTGGTGGTTCCCTTTGGGCCTGACCACATGGGTCCTTCCAAACTCAAACGTCCTTCTAGGAGTTCTACTACCTGACATATTGAAGCAACAACTTTTAAAACATAAAACCAGCAGGCCTAATGATCAAGATATGGGCATGAACCAACAATAAGTAGTCCTTACAAATAACTTTACTCCATATACAAATAATATAGACACCAGCACAGGAAAACGACTAACCAGAACCAGTATTGGAGGTATTGTAGCTCATCCCTTCCACCTGAAAATATACGATATGCACACACCTAAGGTGACTTCCTGCAATGAGGAAAACCAATATTGACCATATCTATTTATACCCATATAGGGGGGTGAATATGTAATAAAACCCATGAATCTGTATGTCACTCCTTACACCAGTTATACACTGTCCTAAAAATATATATCAGAAAGGGAAAGGCACCCGAGTAAAGAAGGAACAGGAAAAGCTAGTAGGCTTTATGAGCAAATAAGTGACGCTAGATGAAAGCACATCAATGCAGAAAATGAACTATCGAAGACTTTGAGATAGCAAAGCTCACAAAGATTGAAAGAGAGAATCTTTGCTAGTGGCCAGCGGGCAAAGTAAAGCACTTCAACTACAGCAACCCAAGAATACAACCACAAATCACATTTCTTCCTGGAAGAAGAAAGAAAGTTCCATTTTTTTTCCTCCAAAAGAAAATCAAAATGGCATTTTATATAAATGGCTGATGAGTGACAGATACCCATTAAACAAAAACAGAAGTTGAAATGTTCACAAAAGGATCTAAGAAAAATATATAAACTGAATATTGGCAGTGAAAAAGAAAAGGTGAGGTTTAAGCTTTTTTTGTACCAACCTGGTATGGGACTAAACCCAAAAGAATATGGGCTTTCCCCTTTCTCCTCTGTTTTTGCCTTTCTTTCTTTCCCACAACTTTCTGTCACTCTCCTTCTCACTCCTTTTATTTTGTTTGTTCATACGAACCATACCTCAAAAACCAGCCACAAGCACACACAGATGGAAACCCACCCACAAGGTCTGAAAACTAATCATTTTCTTACAGGTTTTTCCCAAATGCCCAGACCAAAATGCCCTTCCCATGTCCACTTCTTTTAACCTGGCTCATACTGTAACAGATTTTTTTTTTTCTTTTTCTTTTTTGTAATTTTCATAAACATAATGTTAGCTAAATTCAACTTTCCCACTTTAGAAAATTAAGAAAGATAAAAACTTTAGTAGGTTTACAGTTTAAAACAGAGAAACAAAGAGGACATTACGAAAAGAAGGAAGAAAGAAGAGAATGAACTTCTCCATCTCCATTTCTCATTTCTATTTTTAACTAAAAAAATTAAAGTTTTTATATTTAAACCCCACACTTCTCTTTGTTCACCTCAACTTCTAACTTAAATTTTCATAATTTCTAATAAAACCTCACTATCTTTCCAAACTACCCCTAAATACACACTCAGCAGCACATCTCACACCCCACACCCCGCTAACTTGCCCCCTCACCACTCATCTCAACCTCACATTACTTAAGGAGAAAAACACTATTGTCAAACTTAATTGACGACCCACAAGCCACTATTTTTATACCGTATTTAGAGTTTTGTGAAGAGAATATGAGAGTGTAATAGGTTTCTTGGATTGAAAGAAAATAGTAATCTAGTAATAGGGTGTAGAGGAGTTTGTATTTTTTCTAAAACTTAATATGAAGAGTGGTGGGTTGTGTGTATAGATATACTAGGGTTAAGTATTAAGTTGGATGACCTTTTTTTTTTATTTTACACAATATTAAAACTTAAGAGTTTAATGATTTAAGTATTGGAGTAAACAAAGAAAAGTGTGGAGTTTAAATAGAAAAACTCAAAAATTATGTCAATTCACTTGGAGTATATATTAATCCATAAACAATTTTAATAAGACTTTTTTTTTACACAAGTTTAATAAGACATTTTAAATTCTCATCCAATGACTAAAAATAAATTCAGCACCAACAAAAAGACTTGAGAACAAATGCAAACACTTTTTCTGCTTTTTCTTCCCCAACCCCCAAAAAAGAATACGTACATAGGGCACATAAGTAATTTACGAACCATGGAATAGAATCTCCTTAGAAAAATAAATTTACATTTTCATTAAATAAAAGGCTTAAAAATTCTCTATTTTTAATCTTATAATGTTTTAAATTCACCTAGTTGACAAATGGCATTTAATTTGTTTCCCACACCTCTATCTGTCGACGTGTACGTGATGCCAACTCTCATGCGTCATAGACTCATAAGCCTCTTGCAATTGTAAGTATATTTCTCCACTTTTTCTGTTTTTTTTTTTTACAATTTACAAGAGTAAAAATTGAGCTAATATTTCTTTTGCAGATATCCGATTCAAAGATTTATGAAAACCCCATTTCATGTTAATTTGCTTGAACTCTTTATGGTTATATTGAAAAGAGTTAAATTCCAATTCTCAACCTATCTTAATCTTAACCCGTTTACTCATTGGTCCTTCACTACTCAAAGTAACTCAAGAGCGCATATTTACTCTTACTTTGAAAATGAAAAAGAGAGTTTGTCTGCTTGAAGGAAAAAGATTGATGACTTCTCTTTTTTTGTTTCCAAATTAACGTCTTAGGTGTAATGTACAGGTCTTCATCATCCAGCTAAATTATATGGTCTCTATTAGGAATTTAGGACAAAGAAAAAGTCCTAAAGTTTTTGTGGTTTGTTTTATGTAACTTTGAGATGTCCCTTTTAAGTTGTCAACTCACACTCATTGAAAGCAGAATCAATGGTTATTGTATTTGTGTGCAAGGAGAGCAACTTTGGTTTAATACACAAAAAGAGACTCGCAATCTTCTTTGCCTTTGGAATAATCATGGGATGGGGCTCAGACAGATTTTGCACTCATGCTTTCTGGTTATTTAACCTATAAATCACATACTGTGATTCCTTTACTCTGCATCAAAGCCTAAACAATTCAATATTGTGACCTAATTAATGCCTTGAAATGGAGATTAGACTAAAAGTTAACGATTCTTAACGAATAATATTTCGGTTTGTCGGGCATTTTCTGAATTTTTATATCATTTACACATCCCACATGTTCTCCACTCTACAGGTTCCCTGTTCATTAAGGTGGAATTTTTATAAATTATAGGGTTTAAATTCTTGTGCCAAATGCCAGTTTGTGACAACTATAATATATATATATATATATATATATATATAAAATACATATACAGAAGTACAAACAGGTTTTCAGTGTGCTTGTTGAACAAGGTGCCCAGCTAGGTACTCATGTGACATAGGACCTAAAATGTTTTCCGTACAAAAAACAACTATATGTATGTAGGGCCTAGCCTGTTGCTTCTGCGGTTCTGCTGGGCCCGAAGTTACTGGACTATCCTTAGTCTTGATGCCTGGGTTGCCTAGGTTTGAAAAACTAAATTAAACACTACAAACGGGTTCACGCAAATATTTATTGGGTGTCTTGGGATTTCGAACCTCTAACCACATGACTGAAGTGGAAGTGAAAAAGCCTAACCAACTGAGCTATGCCTTGTTAGAGTTTGTATAGGAAAATACACTTGCATGTAGTCCCACATTGGAAGAGAGTAGTTTTCTTCCATAGTTTATAAGCACCAACACATTAGAATTACTAAATAGAGTATGAGCCTAGTGGAGGCAAACTTGAGCCTCAACATGGTTTGAGCTTGGATTATATATATATTTGTGTGTAATAAATATATATATAATTAATTGTCAAAAGATGGGCCTTGGGCCTTGGGGCTCTTGGGCTCTGTTGATTTAATTAATAATTTATTTTTTATTAATTGAAAAATTCGGTTTTTCAGATAAAACCAAAATCTGAAATTCGAATTAATTAAAACAGTTAACATAACTGTTGGATGAAGAGGTGTCAGACCTCTATATAATGACAATACGATCAAACCAGAAAGAAACCTTTGAACTGCATCATCATTCTCACATTTTACACTTCCTGAGAGAATTCATACCACTGTTCGCCAGAAATCAAGCCACTGTGCTTAGGCTTAGATTTAAGATAGTTTAATCCTGGTGGACAGACTCCTATCGAACTACAAGCACAAGGGTAGAGGAGAAATACTGTCTAAAGGACACTGCAAATTTGCAGGACTCTATCTACAATTCAAGTCAGTATACTACAATCTATATTATTGTTGTATTGATTCAATTATATCTATATAAAATATATTCGTTGGTTTTATTATTCTGTTATTTTGGTTTTATATTGATTGTTTTCCAACAATCTTTAGACAGTATTATGGAACAATCAGGAAGTAAGACCTCTCATGCCGAAAAGCCTGAGAAATTCAAAGGCACTGACTTCAAACGTTGGCAACAGAAGATGTTGTTCTATCTAACAACATTAAATCTAGCCCACATTCTCAGACAGGATGCCCCTGTGTCGAATAAGGATCCTGCAACCAAAGAGACTGTCGCTGCAATTGATGCATGGACACAATCTGATTTTCTGTGCAGGAACTATATCTTGAATGGACTTGATGATGCACTGTATGATGTCTATGCAGCATTCAAGACGGCTAGAGAAGTTTGGGAATCTCTTGAGAAAAAATATAAAACTGAAGATGCAGGATCCAAGAAATTTGTTGTAGGCAGATTTCTGGATTTCAAGATGGTAGATTCCAAACCTGTTGTCAAACAAGTTGAAAACCTCCAGAAAATTATCCATGAGATTCTTGCTGAAG